CGGGTGGTGGGCTTGTGCGGGGGGACCGCTGGGCCTGGGGCCCCCCTGCCCCCGGCGCTCTCCGCAATCCCATGGGATTCCCCGAGGGGCAGAGCCTGCCCTCCTGACCCGCAGGCTGTGGTCCTGCTGCTTGCCCCGCTCCCTCTTCCCAGCGTGCTGAGCTCCTGCACCTCCTGGCCGCTGTAGCCAAGGCTGCCCCCAGCCTCCGTGTCCCCCGCGTCCCCCGCCAGTCCTTCCTTGTGAACTCCTCCTCCATCGCCTGCACCTGGACGCTCTCACCGAGGCACTCGGGAAGCCTCCTGGGTTGCCTGTGCCTGCCTGTTGCCCCTCCAGCAGATTCCGGGGTTGGTTCCAGTTGTCTGGAGAAGGCCTCAGTCATCAACCTGCAGAATCATTTCTTAAAACCTACAGGTCCAGTTTTTTTCTGAGCAGAACAGAAGCCTTCTTTTAATTTGGTTTATTGTCTCTACCAATAGAAGTGATCTATAGTTCAGGAATTCCTTTGCAGTGTAGAGTTTTGTCATGTCCTGGAGAAACGTTAGTAGTGTATATCCACGTGACTAATGCTCCTTTTGACTTGAACAGGTACCCAAAAGTGTGAAGCCTTACAGACTGTATCGGTTAGGAGAAAAAAGCAGTGTCAGAGTCAGATACTTTTTAAAAGCTGTGATCATCTTTAGGAAAAAGCCTACCTCTGGCTACAGCCAGAATGTCTGCACTTCAGTTTTTGCTGACTTGTTTTAATGTCCTATGGTATTTTCTATTTTTGATAGCTGATGAGTGGTTTTGTGCTGCTTTTTTTTTGCATATGAGTTTAATAGTAAGCAGGAGCAGTGACTGGAGCGTCACTTGGTTAGATGACCCTGTCAGCCAATGTGTGACAGCCTGTTTTGCAGGAATGTAATAGTAAATTGTTAATGTTTTCCCCCAAAGTATTGTACATCTCTGCGTATTTGATAGCAGTGCAGTATTCACAGGAGCTGCGATAGAAATACTTCTATGGATAAATTATTTGCATGTGATTCTTTTAATGTCCATAAAGTCCTGCAAATGGTAGAGTTAATTTTATGCGTTTTGCAAGATTAAAGGGGGTTTAAATCAGGAGTGAGGCTCAATTTAATCAGTTGCTTGACAGGTGGTTGTTTGATTTCTTTATTTTGAAAATGCAAAATAAATGATGAAGGCAACACAAAATTACTGTTTTTCCCCTCCCCCAGATATTCTGATCACTATGGCAGCCACAAGAAATGTGATGAGAGCTGTCAGAGTTTTTGAATTTGGTGGCCCTGAAGTGCTTAAACTCCAGTCAGATGTCTTAATTCCCGATCCAAAAGAAAATCAGGTATGTATGAGTTCTGCAAACTGAAATAATGGTATTGAATGATAACAGGTACACTCAGTACAGAATGAAGAATCCATACCAATGCTTTTCATCTTGAATATGTAGGTTTTTGATCAGCATATTCATACTACCTGAGACATCGTGTTTAACAAATGTGGGCTTTTTACTGTTATATGGGCTACATATTCCATATAAAGGATTTCCTGAAAATGGCTTCAGTTCAACACTGAATATTTGCTAACTCTGTTTAAGAATTTAGTTAAAATGCCATGATACTGTGCTGTGAATTCAAGTTTTAAATCTTTTAAATTATTGCTTAAGAAGCATCTTTTCTTTTAGGTGTTAATTAAAGTCCATGCCTGTGGGGTAAATCCTGTTGAGACATATATTCGTTCTGGAAATTATGCTAGAAAACCAGCTTTACCCTACACTCCTGGCTCAGATGTGGCCGGTGTAATAGAAAGTGTTGGGGAACATGTGACTGCATTCAAGGTATTTATACATTGGGTTTTAATTCATTATTGTTTAGTGTATCCTCTTTGTGTGATTGCTATACTACTACTCCTGTTTTTATTGCTTATAATCATGTAATCTGTTTTGGGAGGGGGGTGGAAATCACCTTTATTGCCTGGTGAAAGCATGCAGCGAGATTGTATTGGCAATCCAGTCTGCAGATCGAGCTGTAGGGAGGTCTTGAATGCTGTTGACCTCCGAGAGTTAAAAGGTCTCAGAAGAGGCACTTCAGTTTGTCTGCTCAAAGCAATGATATCAGGTGTACAAAAGCTGTGGTTCAGAACTATTTTTATGGTATTGTAGAAATATTTGAAGTTGGATGCTTCCTGTTTGAGGTAATTTTATGCAGAACTGAAAAATTTTCTGTAAAGTTTTTTTGGAAATGGAAATAGCTTTTATTTTACTTACTTATAAGGCCCCATAAATTACATATTTGTTGTTGAAACTGTTCAAATACTTTATTACTCTAGTCTAGTAATTTGACTTAGATTTTCTCTGATATCCGTGAAATTTATTTAGTTTTTAAATCAGTTCTTCCTTTCAAGTCACTAGATTGTTGGTCTCAGACAAATACAAAAATTGTAGTTAAAATTGTGTTGAAATTTCCTGACTTGGAATTTATGTAACTGTTGTGGGAGAGATCAGAGATTTGGTTGTCTAGCGAGGAGAATCATGTTTCTTCACATTTTCTTATCAGTAGTTTGCTGTATCTGCTGTGTGTGCTTTTTGTTTCTTACGGAAATTGTGATGCTCTTCGCTTGAATGAGAGAGAGAGATGATGAAATCATATGTGTGCTGCAGACAGGCATCCTGAAAACGCTGAGTAGCCAAGCTCGTTCACTTGCACGTTCATAGTGCTTGAGAAAGAGCTACGCTGTCATGTAGGCCCCTGCACAATAGTTAATACATGATACCTGCAAACCAAACTGATGGGGTACACACGCTGTGCGTTTATTGAGATCAACGTGCAAATGGCAGAAAAACCAGAGCTCAGTAACTGTGGACGTTGACTGACGTAGTTCTGCGAGCGGGTTGTGCAAGGCTGGACGCTGACCCAGAGCAGAGCCGCTGGCGTCGTACCCGTGGGCAGGACTGAAGTGCTGAGGCACACAGGCGTGCAGCGCCCTGCTCGCCGTGCGTTGCCTGCATCTCCTGCTGAATTGCTGGGTTGAGTATTCCCTGCTGAAGAACAGCAGCAATACTTAGTTACCTTAGGGTATATTAAGGGTGTATCTTTCTTCCACATTTAAACAAAAATAATTATAAAATGTTTGTTTTGTGTTTGTAAAAGATTTTGAGGTTTTGCATTTGGAATCTGTGGATGGAATTCTTTAGTGTTCAGGTTCATTAGGGTTAATATTAACGAGACAGTAGGTTTGTGTGTTACACTGTAGAGTGGGGGTTATAATTATGACACTTTAAGTACATGAAATTATTTGGTTTGTGTTGCATTGGTTGTATGTATTGGCATTAATAAAAATATTCTCTGTGACAAATATAACTGGTTATTTTTAATAGGAGAGCTATTAGAAATAGCCTAAACTTCCATGAACTGGTTCTTTATGTATATTAAGGAAAAACTAAGGGAAATAATTGATTTTTCCATTTTCTTTCCCTCCTTTCTAGAAAGGTGACAGGGTTTTTACCATTAGTACGGTCTCTGGAGGATATGCAGATTATGCAGTTGCTGCAGCTAATAGAATCTTTCCTTTGTCGGATAAATTGGACTTTAAGCAAGGAGCAGCAATTGGGATACCCTACTTCACTGCTTATCGTGCTCTTTTCCAAAAGTAAGGTGCTAAATCTAAGCTTGTGCATTTTAGTTCTGAATATTTAAAATACTGAAGCTCATATTTTCACTGTCCTGTAAAATGGGGGGAGATCAATGAATGGGAAATGTTTAAAGCACTTAAGTTAAATTTGTTATACTGATGGAATTGTCTGGTAATTGTTACCTAGAAGCTAGTGACTGTATTTTACTGTTAAGTATTTCTTCTTAAGAGAACAGTCCTGGAAAGGCTTCTTTGATAAGTATCATGTAATAAAACATATAACTCTATAACTCTTTTTCTGTACTCATTGGTATTTTAGCTAGGGGAGAAAACCAGGAATAGTTTTAATTTCTTAATTAAATGAACAGTGTGCTGTAGAGCAGACCCACCTCTTTCCTTCATGAGCCAGAGACTCTGCACAGTCCTGTCTGTGGGACAGTATAACGAGTAAAAGCCAGGCTTCCGTGTCAGCTAGGTGAGAGCTTGGGGCTGCAAATCTGGTTTAGTTTGATAGAGCAAAAGATTAGAACTAGTGTGGTTTGTTTTAAGACCTGTAACAAGTGAAGATCTTGAACTGAGGTTCAGTACCAGATTGTTACTTGCTGCTAGTTGCGTGTAGACATAATTGCATATTCCTTAAATTGATAAATGATATGGTTTATTTTGCGTCCTTGTTTTCCCAAAGTGGCTGATTATACCTGTTCAGCCATAGCATAAATTGGAAATAATGCTGTGTGAAATATGAGATTTGATGTCAGTGTATGCAATCTGATAGTTAATGATTATGTACTGCAATCTCAATGCCAATGTCTTCCGTTTTTTTTCATTCAGAGGACGTGCCAAAGCAGGGGAAAGTGTGCTAGTGCATGGTGCGAGTGGGGGAGTAAGTATTTTGAGAAGGCAAGTTGTAAGAAATGCTGTTTTCTGTCCTTGTATCTGCTTTTGTCTGTGATATGAATTATGGTCACGTTTATGTCAATAAATAGATTAGCAAAATTAGGTTTTTATTTCAGATACGCTAGGATACATTAGAGAGCAAACCCCATTACTCCAAATAACCATGAACTGTGTGATTATGTAAGCTCCCTAAACCCGAGGGTCACATAAAAGCACTTCGCTGCAGTTGGAAGTTGGTCCAAAAGCTTTATAGCTGGTCTTCCTCAGTTAAAAATAATAGCAGAAAGCTGTAATTTTAAAATACGTACAAGTTGTTCTCAGTTCTCTGGGTGTAATGACCACTGCATAGCAACTATGTGTTTCTGTGATATTTTTACCTATTAGCTAACAGCTAGCTGCACGAGGAGAGATACTGGAATATATAAATTCATGACTGAATACTATGTGAAACTGAATGTATAGTTTTCCTTAGTTCTATGTGAAAAGCTAACTTTAGATCTCTTTCACACAACATTCTAGTTTAATTTATCCCCTATACACTGCATGGTGTTGCTCAGCTTCTGCTGATGCACCAAACAGCTGCAATGATCAGGCAAAGTTTCCTTAATTATTTGATAGACAGCAAAATGGTGATTATGACAATCTCATATGAGGAGGAATTCGGATCTCATTCTAAGATACTAGAATGACAGCATCGTACCTCTTTTTTTTTTTCTTAAACTAAATGCAGTGTTTCTATTCTTCTTTATGTTTCTTGAAAAGATATATTGCCTTTGGTCTGCAGAAGCATGTAATGCAAATGTGTTGTTCTGTGGACTTGTAACCTTTGTATAGGAGTACTTGTAAAAGCAGTGAGATATGTGTAGGTATGAAGCACATGCTGAAGAGAAAAGATGATTTGTGCTGCACCTTTTCTTTCAAGTGATGCTGACTTCCATAATGATTCTTAAAAATGTGTCTTCTTTTGTATTTTTCTTTGAAAATCAGTCTGGCCATGATGTATTTTAATTAATGGTGTTTGTTTTTTCATTTAGTTGAAAACTGATGGTCTGCTGTTAAGAAAACAAGGTCACATTTGGCAAACAGTTTGGGTAGATCCTGGCCAGACAGATGGTCATGGTAGATTTTTTCAAGAAGCCTGTCCATTTATTTTGTGTTACTCGTACGTACAAATTTAAGTAGCAGAGCCACAGAATGGAGGTTTTTATGGTCGTCTTTCTTTGTGTATTTATTTGCTTGTGTCCCCCTCCAAAAAAAGAAAAAATATAAAACAGTCATATCTTAACACATCCTGGAGGAGGTATCCAGCTAGGTGGTAGGTACAGTGGGCTGCTGAATCCGTGGCCTCAGGAAGCTGACCAGCTGGGACCGAATTCCAGAGAGGAGTTGTATGTGTCCGCTGTTCCCTCGTTTTGCTTCGGCATTCTGTTGCTGTGACACAAAGCAAAACCAAGAGATGGCATTGATATGCCTCAAGCGCTCGTTGGCTCCAGTGCCAGGTTTTTATGAAGGGATCCCTCAGCTCTAAATATCCTCTGGAGTGCAGAGCTGGTATGAGACACTGGGAATTTGGCTTCTAAAGATATCATTTAATCTGTTTGTGAAAGGTGAAAAAGTAGTGTTAATAAAATTTGTGCTTGCAGATTTTCTTTGTGATAAATAATGCTGGTATCAATAGCAGGTGATTCTGGAAGAGAAAAATTTCCTTGGCTTTGTATCAAATATATATGGCCCAACTTTAACAGATAGACAACATTCTACATGGATTTATGTCAAATGCTAATAGCTATTAAAAAACGCACAAAACTTTACTATGCCTCTGTAAATATATTTTCTTTTTTTAAAGACTATTTGGCTATCTTTAAGATCCAAATTACTTATTATGGCTAAAAAAAAAAATTTACCAGGCCAACTTTTTAAATGGGTAAGTTCCAAGTTGCTGGTACATTATATAAAAGTTAAAATACTAAGAAAGAAAGAGAAAAAGAATTTTTTTCTTCCTTTTCTCGTTTCTTTTCTAGTTTCTTTTCTCGTTTCTTTTCTCGTTTCTTTTCTCGTTTCTTTTCTCGTTTCTTTTCTCGTTTCTTTTCTCGTTTCTTTTCTCGTTTCTTTTCTCGTTTCGTTTTTGTTTTGTTTTGTTTTTTGTTTTTTCTTTTTTTCTTTTTTTTTTTTTCTTCTCCCCTCAGGTGGGAATAGCAACATGTCAGATTGCCAGAGCTTGTGGTTTAAAGGTTTTGGGTACAGCAGGAACTGAGGAAGGCATGAACATGGTTCTGAGAAATGGTGCTCACCAAGCATTTAATCACAGAGAAGCTAATTACACTGATAAAATTAAGGTAAGCATGTATCAGGGCTAGGTGATGCAGTGTGTATTTTTCTTACTAATAAAATGTGAACAGTTGTTTGCAGAAGTTTTTAGAAGTAGATTTATGTAGAAGAGTAGTGTACTGCCTTTTTAATTTCTACACAAGGAAAGCCTTTTCCAGGCTGGAAAAGCTGAGCTTCACAAGCAATGGCATTTAGAAATTCTTGCATTCCAGCAAATTCCAGTATGGTAGCATATCATAGTTCAGCATATCAAAATATGCTAAAATTAAACTTATTAGCTGTCAGCCTTAGTACAAAGGCTGTATTTAAAATTTTAACAATAAACTGTAAAATATATGTTATGTCTAGCATGTGAAATAAACAGCGGTACCCAAGCACTAATTGGAGTGATTTAAATAACATGTTATGTCTTGTATAGGAATACATAGGGATGAAAGGAGTTGACATAATAATAGAAATGCTGTCTAACATCAATCTTGCTACTGACTTGCAACTGTTGTCCTATGCAGGAAGGGTGATGGTAAGTACTTTTTGTCACTGACTTCAGTTTGTGCATTAAGCAATGTGATTCAACAGTTACAACTTGAACTATCATATTTTAACTCGTTTGTAACAGGTTGTGGGCTGTAGAGGTCCTATTGAGATAAATCCAAGAGACACTATGAGTAAAGAATCTAGCATAATTGGAGTTAGTCTGTTTCTTGCAACTGAGGTAAGAAACATTTCTATGTTAAAGAATGTTTTGTTGGCTTATTCCAGTACCTCTCTATTTCCAGTTAAAATTGTTTGTAAGGGTGAAGGGATGATTTTACTGTAACTAACTTGTTTGTTCATTCCTTTATGTTTTTATTTAATCTCAGAACATCATAAAATATTTGTGGATCGTGAAATTTGGTTTAACATGTGCATAAATAGTCAATACTTTTCTAAAATGTAAAAACCTTGTGGTAAATGCTGTCTTTATTCAATGCAGGAGGAGATGCATGAATGTGCAACAGCAGTCCTCAAAGGCATAGAAGCTGGCTGGCTGAAACCAATTGTAGGCTCTGAATATCCACTGGCAGAAGTAGCTAAGGCTCATGAAGACATTATTCATAGCAGTGGTGCTCGAGGAAAGATGGTGCTCCTTCCATAAAGTCTTTTTCCATTTATTTTGTAGCTGTTCTAACTGCACCTTGGCTTATATGATTCATTGAATGTATGTTATAAAGCATACTTTTGATCAGGTTTGACAGTAACAGCAAATGCTAACTTACATTAATTAATCAACAATCTATTTTCTTTTTGTAATAAGCAGAGTTGCATAGAATTTAAAGTAATTTTTGTAGCCTTTTTGGCTGATGTGGAAATAATTAATTTGCTTGTGTGGCCTTGTGATGCAGGGGAAACTAATATCTAAGATAGGATTTGATACCATGCTCTATGTGAAGTTATAGTGAGGCCACTGTAGGTAGTGCAAAATGAAGCCTGCTTTTTAAGCAGATACACCAATGCATATAACTAAGTATATGCATATAACTAGGACTCTGCAAATTCTTTAGCCACATAATTTGTCTTATCTTTTGTCACATAATTTACTTGGAATAAAAGCATTTACTGCCAAAATAGTTCACTTGCCAGCTCAAAAGATGGCCAAAGAATCTCTCAAATCTGAACTGTTTGGAAGCAGAGGCAATTTCATTTTGCTATGCCTGACGGTGTCTGAGGTGAAAGTGTCCCAGTTAATCTGAAGCTGTATGCTAATATTTGCTACTTTGCAACTGATCATATTGGCAGCAGCAGCTGATTCCTTGATGGTAAATGGCTGGGTAGTGAGGATTGCAATTCTTCCTGTGACCTTTACTAAATTTAAAGTCACCTGAATCCCTGGCTACGATGAGGAGAAAGGAGAGGCTGCACTGCTTTCGTGGGTATTCATGTTATTGCACAAATGAATGTGTATATGTTGTTGACTTGTTCCAAATGCAATCCAATTAAGGAAGGACAATTTCTTTGACAGTTTTTACACTCAAAATACTGTTTGGTATTACAGGCACTTTCTTTTAATGATGTAATTCTCTAATGAGCAGTGAAGTCATCACTTGCTGAAGAGTTTTCTCAACTTCAAGGATGAGCTTTTCTGTTCCTTTCAGGAAAAGTGAGTCCTTACTAAACAGAAACTGTTTAGAAGTATTTTTGTCTATGAAGGTTACATGCTTTTTAACATTCGGTCTGGATTCATTTGGTGTCATACTATCAGAAATCAGTACACATTCTCTGAATCTCTGTACAGGTTCCTCAGGGTGATAGCTTCATCACACTACCATTTTCTAAGTTGTGATTTTTTTTCTGAACAGGCATTCATTTCTGCTGACATTTTGTTTAATCTAAACTAAGAAAATAATTGGCAAAATCTTTTGAAATGCCTGGATTTCTCCTCTATGTTTGTGATCCTTTGTTAAAATATAAAGGTGAGAGAGGGCCCCACGATCTGTCTCTTTATAAGCCTCTCGATGAGATCTTAACATTTTGTTTTAGTGTTTAATTGACCATGATTGTTCTGCGTGTGGTTGGGAGAAATCAAATCCTGACACACTACTTGTCTCTAGAGCCTGAAACGGATTGGTTATTTTACCTGTGTGTCCTCTAGGAACAATTGACTCCTTTCAGAAAATTGGACACTATCTGTGTTGAACTCTTGCTGATATTCGAGCGTCTTCATTGCACTTGGCAGACATGTTTAAAACAAAAGAAAAACCTATGCCTGATCTCTGTTTTTGCACAATGTTTTTGGGTTTTTTTTATTAGAGTAGTTGGAATCGAAATATTTTCCAAACTTGTAGACATGTTAGCATATAAATACTGGGTATACTAAAAAAAGTGGTAGAAAATTGTCAACTTATTTACACAGAAAATGTTACAGGTGATAGCATCTGTCACCTGTAGGATCCTCCTTCCTGGCAAGTGACTTCCCCTTGGAGGAGACCAGGAATAGTTGGATCATTAGAACTGATGCAATGCCAGCTTGTTTAAAGTCTATCTCAGAAAACATCCAGTTTTGCCGCTTGATTCTTCTCTTGCATGTAGCTATGCAAAGAGATGCAAAACACTTGCTTGGAAATGAGATAATACAGCTTTACTTCCTCCTGCTCTCCAAGTGCAGTCTTAATAGACCAGGAAGTGGGTCCTGGGCTTCATGTGGTCTTCTCCAGTAGCCATGTCCCGAGTGCTGTCACTGCTATGTGGATGAAAATATTTTGGCACCTTGTTAATGGAAAGTGGGTGATTTATGGTAAGTGGATGGAAATCAAGAGAGGATTTTCTTCAGAGCTCTAGCAAAAAGACTTAGTTTTGTGTCATTGTAGTTGATTTGGGTAACAATAGTTGAAGTATCATAAAAATCATAGATGGTTTGGGTGGGCAGGGACCTCACAGCCCATCCAGTGCCACCCCTGCCATGGGCAGGGACACCCTCCACTAGCCCAGGTTGCCCAAAGCCCCATCCAACCTGGCCTTGAACACTGCCAGGGATCCAGGGGCAGCCACAGCTTCTCTGGGCAACCTCTGCCAGGGCCTCAGCATCCTCACAGGGAAGAATTTCTTCCTTATGCCCAACCTAAATCTACTCTCAGTTTAAAACCATTGCTCCTTGTCCTGTCAATACAGGCTTTGGTAAAAAGTCTTTCTCCATCTTTCCTATAAACCCCCTTTATATATTGAAAGGCTGCCCAGAGGCTTCTCTTCTCCAGGCTGAACAACCCCAACTCTCAGCCTTTCTTCATAGGAGAAGTGATTGTTGAGTGCATCACCCATGTCGGTTGTCACCAGCTCTCCTGTCTTATTTACTGGAGGTGGTACATTTTCTTTAATCTTCCTTTTCTGGCCAATGCATCTGTAAAGGCTCTTATTATTCTTTGCATCCCTTGCCAAATCCAGCTCCAACTGTGCCTTAGCTTTCCTAATCCCATCCCTACACATCTGGGCAGCATCCTTGTATTCTTCCCAGGATATCCATGGAACTATGTGCTCGTGCTACTTCCAATCTAGCTAGCACAGTTAATGAGACTATTGGGAACTGTTCTTTGGCCAGTTGTGTGTTATTTTCTAATTTGAGAGAATGTGAGATAAATAATAAACGTCAGTATTTTTCTAAATAGCTGAGTATAGATACTAATCTTTTTCATATTTTACATTTTAAAATTAATTCTGATTCTGACACTCTGTTCTGGGTTAGCAATCAATGATAGGAAAGACTGGTGTCAGATGAAAGACAGGTGGGATCTGTCCTTCAGTTACACCTAGATTAATGTTTTCTTTTTGTTAAAGGAACTAGTAAGGTCTCACTGGGTAGTATTTTCATTGTTTCTCTAAGCTGGGAACTGAGGCTTAGGTCTGAGACAGGTGATACCCTGGAGACAAATATTGTGCGAATTGCAGTGTGTTGGGGGAGGAAATCAGTATGGCTTTCAAGAATATGGACTTGTGAGCAATAACCGGGCACATATCACAAAAAAGGAAAGAAGGTCTTTACAGTGGGGCTTATGAAACTAATTCACTTAATACTGATGATAAAAGAGCAAGGTCTTAGTGTCAAATAGAGAAGGAATGTTTTTGTAATGCAAGGTTAAGTGATGTAAGGAAGACTGATTTTGTCCAGCACTGAGTTGGTCCCTATGGAAGTTGGTCCCTATGGCATCTCTTCTGTTGTAAATTAACTTCTTAGTAGATAGGAGACCACTCTAAATTCAGGATTCATGTTTTCAGGTATGGAGAGGTCTCTTTTAATGCCATGTTAATTTTATTTGGGACTGCCACACAAGTGATAACTTACGAGTGAAATTTAAACTTACTCCAGCCAGTAAATCAGCCTCATCGGGGG